TCTTTTAGTGTTAATCGCCGTTTCTTGGTGTCAACTAGAAATTCGTATCTCTCTAGAAAGTCCATCCCCAGTATTGCCAGATCTAGGTCGGCTACCGTGAAAACCCAAGGGAATTGCCTCCTGAACCCTAAATCTAGGGTTAAAGTTTTCTGCCCAAATGTCGCGATTTTAGTTTTATTTGCAGCTCGAAGTGTAATTGATGATGTTTCTCGACTAATCTCAGTTTTATTTTGAGGGATGATGCTAAGAGCAGCGCCAGTATCCACCAAGAAATTCAAGCCAGAGTTTCTGTCTCTAACATAAAACAAGCGACTGTTTAGGCGCCCCTCTTCAGTCGTCGCGACCTGGGGAGGGGTTACTCGTTTCCCGCTGTCTTAGAATTATGCTTAGGCCAGGCGCATGGTTGCATGCACTTGGTTGAGTTGACGCCAAACTTCCAGTGGTACCAACAAAACTGCCCAGATTGTCTGGACATTTGTGACTTGGATCGTAGTCGTTGTGGTGACCTGCTCCTGTTCCTATGACCCATTTGCATTCTGGTGACAGCCTCAGTGAGACTCTTAACACTCGCAATGAGTCCTTCTATTACGGGGTCTTTTGCTGATTCTACTTTTTGTGTGTGATTTATTGTGCTTGATCCAGTTGGAGGACCTCTTTCCATTATTCTGTCGGCTATACGCGCTAAATGAGATAATGAGGTTTCAGGATCTTGTGCATCCAAACAGTGTTGGACGTAGCATGGGAGAGCTTGTATCCATCCTTGTTTTAGGACTGCTTCACCCACTGTGTTATCACCCACTAAGACTTGGAGGTGACGTAAAAACTGTGACGGCGACCGATCACCTAGTGTTTCACCTTGAAAAAGTCTTTGGATTCTTTGACTATCTGATAATGATAAACGGTTCATTATCTCTCGTCTTAAGATGGTGTATGGTTGTGGTGATGGTGGACTTAAAATCAAGTCACGGACTTCTTTGGCGACTGAAGGAGGAAGGATAGAACACAAGTCTCTATAGCGAATCCCTTCAGATTTGATATTGTGTCTCGTGAAATAATGCTCTAGTTGAGCAAACAACAACTCAGGATCACTACGATCAAATTCTGGAAGTCGGGATTTCGTAGTCATAACAGTTTCTATCTCCACTGGTGACAAATCCTCCAGATTATGGGTTTCTATTGAGTCTGACATGAGGTATGTGACAAATATAGCAATAACGTTAGCACAAAAAGTGGTTACTATAACACGAATAACTTACGATAATACGGAATAAACTAGTTATATACTCAAATTAGTTTACGGATAATCAGGTCTACTTTTACGATTAAGTAAAAAAAATGTTAATAACAGAAATGTGGTTAAATTTGTGTTCAAAAAGGGCTCACCAATTTCGTGTCTTAAAGTAACCCTCGTGCTATTAATAGAAGAAACCAGACAAGTAGTGGATAGGTCTTTATTTCGATCTTAGCGCGGTCACAGTGGAGCGTGGGATTATCTGTTCAGACAAACAAATGCTCTCAACATTCAATATAAGATAATAGGGAATATAACGCTTATACAAAACAAGGAGGTGAATGGATACTTGAACAATACTGTTTTGGCATATGCTTGGTTGTTTGGGGTCAACTCTTAACCAACCAACCTAAGCTGTTACATACTCACACCAGACTTTTTGCAACCAGTGACTCAGATGGGTTAGAAAAGCTTCCATCGGTTACCAGACACAGCTGCTGCTTACAGCTCATTGGTCGGCTCCAAATATCAGGCTTCTCGATCCTTAAGCATGATTTGCTCAGTTTCATTATGTAACAGTCTTCGTTTGCAGTCAAACTCGCGGTCATACGGAGTAGATCGACAGGCTTCACTGAATTGTAAGCAAACTGAATGAACCCAGTACCTATAATCTAGATGTTTCGCAAAGCCGCATACGACTAACTCTCCACTTTCATGGCGTCATACGATTGCAATAAATGCCGATCTATACTTTTCGGTGGGATGGTGGCTAGCCTTGAACCTAGCTCGGTTTGATATTTAGTTGCAACAGAAGCTGCAACCAATTTACTGATATCGATCGGTTTAGGACGATGAATCTGTTGTCCACTGAAAAGTAAGGTGAGGTTAGTGCAAACAAGAGTGGGTCTGATCAGAGTCCAGATAGGTACTCCATAACGAGCGGAAGGTTTGTACACAACCATGCCAGAGTTAGCTGATCGCGATGTGATCAATCTGAATCCAGCTCTGAGATGAAGAGCGAGGACGCCATTTAGCACATCAGAGATGACTGTGCCGGTTGTTAGTGCTAGCCAGAATCAGGTTTTAGTCTGAGCACAGATGTGGTGGACGGTCACCGCTATTTGACCTGTGACCAAAAGGTCCCCATCGGTTACCCGAACGACTCTTTTCTGTGCCCAGTCGCTCGACCTGAGCATTCAAGTCTCAGCTAAGTACCACAATATCTGTTGAACACACTTTTTGTAGAAGGACAGTTAATTGGAGGTTAAACTCATTTTTGATCGCATCCGGCCAGACTTTCACCATACGTAAATCGATCTAACCAATCGCCTGACCATCAGCACTCACCCAACTTTCCAAACGAATGGACTTTTCCACCACTTCGAACGGCTCACCATAACGAGTGTTGGAATCCGCTCTTGTTATTCCTGTAAAAGTATTTTTCATTTAGCAGCTAAAAAATACATACCATACATACAGACACTTGTTGCCGACTGATTATCTGCGATTTTCATATGATGAGTACCGCCATACAATTAGATAAAATGGTCATACTCACGATCGGGAAGTCCTTCTCCAGGCATCAAATTTACTCCACCGTGACCTGTTTCCAGAATGTCATATGTGGAAAAGCTTAACTGAAGTTGGTAAGTTTCAGAAGTTCAGCCTAACCCCATTGCGGGAATAAAGCAAAGGGAAGATGGGGCATCAATACAAGAATTCACGGATTGCCGGTTTGTTTCTGAGCCCTGATTTAACTTTCAGCGTGATTCTTTTCTTATAACAGTTTGCAATCGAATTTAGCATCTGATTTCACTGAATATAAAAAGGAAAGCTAAATTAATAGTTCACTTCTGAGTTTTAATACAAATGCTTAAGTAGTATTCAAACTATCGGTTTTTATGAGTATGCCTTAATTTATAAACTCTTTCAACAGGTTAAACCATTCAGCGGCGTCAAACGACTTAAAGCATATGGTCATATGGGTAAAGCTCTAACGTTTACAACCATAATTTATGGTAAGAAAAAGCTTTTATTTATTTATTTTTCAGTTCGCATGTATATTTGGACAGAAATTGCTTGCAAATATTTCATATCTATAGCACAAGAATATTTAGCTGTTCAAGAATGTTTATATATTCAGTTTTAGTCAACTAATAACTTTGTGTGACCGTATTAAACCTCGCAGTTATTAGTTTTGGAATAGTAGGAGTAAGAGCAAATCGGAAGAAATTTAGGGTCAGTCAAACAAAGACGTTGCATCACTACATGAATCCACAGACTGCCGGTTTGTTTCTGAGCTATCTTAGGGGTATAAAACTATCTGGTTGTTGTCGGAGAGATAACCATAGTTTATGGCTGATGACCAGATGTGACCTTGGTTCAAAACCACTCAGTGTCAGAAGCGTTCTATTGGGTTGTCTTTTGAAGAAGGGTGCGCCCTAGAAGTGTGTTATACACTATTATTTGTTTAAACATATAAGCATTGGTGTAAGAGGGCACCACATATATATGTGCCACACAGTAAAAATGAAGTTGTAGAAGGATAGAGGAAGGAAAGTGAGTATAATAAAAAATAAGAACAACAATCATTAGAGATTAATGTACAGGAGTGAAATAAAAACTCACTCTCTGTTGATCACTTAACTGGTGGTAGAACTCATTCTTGATAACATCCGGGCTGCAGTCTGTCAGAGCGTAGGCAGAGACAATGAAAAGACATTGTTTTTCACGCGATTTCTTCTCATTTTCATGAGGCTTTCTAATCTAACAGCACATAACCGGCTGTTAATGGAGATCCGATCGATTGGTGCTGCTTCAGCTCTAGCGCTTGTTGTGACACCAACGCCAACAGAAGCAGACGACGATTCCACAGGGTCCCTGGATAGACGTGCGTAAAACAAGTTTTTCGAAGCAACAGATAGAGAGCGAATTTGTAGTAGTTTACTAGGATCTTGGGTCTCGGATAGACAACATATGTCGATGTTGAGACTCTCTAGAGACAAAGTCAACCCTATTTGTTGTCCTATGTTTATTGGTTTGTGAACGTTGAAAGAGGTCAGTGAGAGTAACTTTTTCAACTAAAAGAGTTATTTCTGGTTGTATTTTTCTAACTGATCTGCCTCATTATTATTATTATTTCACTTTCATACACTAATTTTCAATTATCGTTCTTTTTTATTATGCTCACTTTCCTTCATCTATCCTTCCACTACCTTATTTTTATTGTGTGGCACACATATATTTGTCACTTCCTTATGTTTCAATGAATAGAAAGATGCATTTTTGGGGAGTTGCAAAGTATTCCTCGGAAAAGTCCATATGGGTTCAGAAAACACTGGGAACCATTTTATTCAGTCAACGTTGAATAGAAGCTTCCCAGAAACATCTAGAATGTTGCGTGTTACGTTTCTGATTGGATATTTACCTCTTTTGCTACTATATTTGCTTTCGTTTCGGAAAATTTCAGAACCATACAATCATCTGCAGTATTATAAATATCCTCGTTTTTCCGTACACAAACTAACCTTGAGGTAAAGTTTTTTTCGCACTTCGCGCCTTTCCTCTTGTTTTCAAGTAATCGTGTCAATTTAGCCTGGAGTTACTAGAAACGTCTAGTAAGTCGGATCGAGCACTCATTTAGCAAGACTTATCGCAAATCATGAGTAATGATATCCTGTGATTCTAATTCCTTGATTTTGATCATTTTTGCGAGCCATATCTGCTATGTTTAACCTTTTTTACTGTCACCAATGCTACTGTTACCCATAGCTGTTTTGTATAGATCTTATTGGTTTTTTATCACTCACTGTACTGATATGATATATCAACTTGGGCAAACACTTTTATGCCAGGTTCTACTTTCGTAACCACTGACTGAAGAGGCTATAATGAGTTAAGAAGCATAGCCCAATTAGGATACATCTCTTTTTCTTTCTTCAGAGTTAAACTCAAATAAATCATCGGACTATTGATAGATTGAATAATAGGCTCTGTTATATCGTTTAAATATTTGAAAAGGTCGAGATTTCCGTTACCATTACTTTGCTTTGGGTTGTCAGATAGTGACCTTTTACTTTATTTTTTTCACCCAATACCTAATCTTTTCTATTCCTACTAATATTGTTAGTACTACTGTGGTGAGCGAGAACTCAAGTGGTAACAACCGAATGTTTTTGAACATAAAATTACAGAATATCTTAGTAAAATCTGAGAACTCTACAGTGAATACTCAATTTGCAAGATGTCAATCAATTGTCACAAACTTGACTGTTCCTTTTAAAAATATCAGTCAATCGTCTGGGACTTCAATGTTCCTGCATTTCCATACCAATTGCTTTCTGTTCCCGTTCTTTCCCCCTCGAGTTTCTGTTGCCAGACATTCTATTCCCAACTAGCGTATATTCTACTTATGTTTATATAAGTAGCACACATCACACTACTATTTTGGGATTAGGATTGATATTGCTAATGTGATGTGGTAACTTCAATCGGTTCATATTTGTGCCTGGTATAAGTCTCACATGACTGTATGTCATTTCAAAAATATTTTGAAAACTACAAGAAATCATTAATAGTAGCATTGATGACCTAATGTAAGACCTCAAGCATAAACTGATCATCTCTCAAATGAATAAGTTTATGTAAAAAGTGGTTCATTTTGGTATAAGAAAAACCGATTATAAACCATGTAAGCCATGCAAAACAATCACGTACACTCAGATTTTATTACTTTTGTGGTGATAGATTCTTGTTTTTGTTAATCTGTTTACTCTTTAATAACGGGGATATCCATTTTAAAGTTACTTCTGACGTTGCTTAAGGTTTTCGCTAGAATGAATATTCACTACAACAGCAGTAAATCGCTCATAATGAGGGTAGAAAACTAATCTTTTACGACAACTGTGGTTAAATATCAGTTAGTTATTATTTTCTGCTTATAATAAATATCATCTAAGCAAATAAAATAATCACTTTAATAACTTGAATTTCAATTAAACAACACATTAATATGACTAATTATACTTACTGATATAACGGATGGTTTACAACATTTTACTCTGTTACATGTGTATTACGATAATACGTTAATAAGACTAATCACGTTATATCAGAATTGGGATTCACAACCCAGAATAGAGAACCAGATTAATAATTACAAGCAGTCACACACAGTGAGTCCGAACTAGAAATCAATGATAAGGAGGAAAATCATATATTTAATAGTCCGTATGCTGTGGTTGTTTGTTCACGCTTAACAACCAATCATACTTTACTTTCATTACCACACATCACTTATCAGGGTTGATCATCAAGTGGATTCTATGCTTATCTGGTGTATATGCATTGCCAATATTTAAAATTTTATTCTTCAAAGAAACTATCACTTCTAACTCCGAAAAGGAGACATATGACACACACTGGAATTTTATTAAGATTTTAAAGATTGGATATGTTCTTTTTTGAAACATTGTCTATTGTCATTGGGATTTCCAGTTAAGTTTTGATATTAGTTATGTTGTTGTTCTATATTTTCTTCTTTCGGTAAACATTTGATTGACTCTTTGTTGAATTGGTGGTAAATTTGTTTTTTTTTGTTTACTACTATTCAGGTGCTTTTGTGGCTGGTCTTGATGCAGGATTAATCTATAATTCATGGCCAAAAATGGCTGATAAGTGGATTCCTGATGATTTAATTGTATCTCGATATGGTTCTACTGTGAGGAACTTTTTGGACAATCCAACTACAGTTCAATTTACTCATCGAATGCTAGCTTATACAACAGTTTTAACCACAGGTTTATTATGGGCAAATGTCATGCGTTTAGGTGTAGCATGTACAGGACCACGTATTAGGAATGCTGCACACTTGGTTTTTGGTGCTGTGTTAGGACAATCAGTACTTGGCATAACAACTTTATTATGTTATGTACCAGCTTCATTGGGATCATTGCATCAATGCGGTGGTGTTGTTTTACTTTCATCCGTACTCTGGTTTACGCATTGTTTACGTGCTGTTCCAAAATAAAAAGTTGCTAACACTTTTTTTATATAAAATAATTGCAACTTTTTTCACTATCTCGTTCATTTTCTAGATGTTCCATTATAATCATTGTTAATATAATCTTGATAAATATAATGCACAAAGTATTCAAATTGCTTCAGAATATGTTAACTAAAAAAACTAATTATATTCACTTCCAAGCATCTTTTTAGAGGGACTAAGGGATTAATCTTATGATTAAAATGCAGGATTTTGACATCTGTAAAATACTTTTTCTTTAATGCTTTAAGTTCGGTAAAGTGGGACACAACAAGTCGGTTTGTAGAGCTACTGTTCACTTTGATACTAGTGACGATAAACCTCGTAGCTCTGATTCTGTTGAGTCGGATGTTTCTAATTATCATTAATTTTTGTCCACGATTTCGAAACCTAATGTCCATAATCAGAAGATGTTATACAGGCCGCTTGGTTCATTCCATGACGCAGGCAGTACAGAGCCCATTATTTCGTTCAAGAACCTAACTATAAATAATAGTTCTTCATACATGCTTCGTGGGCTTTCAGTTAGTAATACTGGGTTTAATTTTTAGAAAAGCCGAAAACAAAAGTTATTTTTATTAGTTTTTAAAAAGGATTTTGATACTTTAACTAAAGATTTGATAGATGCGTGTGTTAAGTGCAGTGAAGGGATGAGAATTCAGATTTTAGAACTTCAAGTAAAGGGTGGTCCAGTTTGCCTTAAAATATGAATAATTCCATATGGTCTTTGAGAAGCAGTACTTAGGACATTTAATTATTTGTACACAAAAAGAACAAATGAACCGATCTGTTCTTTAGCGTGGGGTACTTCTATCGTTACGTGCTTGAAGTTTGATGGCAAGCTCCCCAGAATATTTTGTGAAGACAGATCAACACTGAACTCCCGTTTGTTGAAGCAAACGTGCATGACGGTGTTAAAGTCTATCAGGATTATATTATTATTCATATTTTTGATAAAGTAACTCATGATCAGAGACATTGCTTTGTTGTATCGTTTAATTGGGAAAATTAATTCAGTAAATCTAAACTGGTGTTCATTTTGTGTATCTAGTTTTGAATGTCTTGAATACCTGGTTGACGGTAACGGTTTTAAACCAAATATGAAGTGACTCGTCCCACTGACAAATGCACCATCTACGGAAGATCTTAAAAACCTATGACCTTTAGTGGGTGCACTTCAGTAATATTCTCGTTTGATTCCTAGTTTTCCTTATCATGCTAATTGTTTGTTTCAAATCCTGATATCCAATCCGTTTAAATGGAGTGAGGAACAAAAGTAATGATTACGAAGTCTACTAAAGTTTCTTAAAACTGATGCCGTTCTTCAAACTTACTCCCTTAGTTTACACTCTGTATTTACTATTGGTGAATCACCTGTGGATGTTGGTGCACTTTTGTAGCAGGAAGATAGACTGGTTATCTGTGTTTTACGCAAACTTACTGTTACTGGACAAAGTTATTCACAAACTCAGCGAGAAGCATTGTCTGTGTTTTGAGCTGTTAATAGACTTCATAAATATTTATATGGAAAGAAATTCACTATTTTATGAACCACGAAGCTTCAAAGTTCATTTATCAGCTTGCAAAATTCCTAGCAGTCTCCTCAGTTGCTACGGTTCAACGATGGAGTATTACATCGAGTGGTTATAGCTATTCTATTCAGCACAGTAGTGCCAAATTCAACACTTTGACTACATTTCTCGACATTCATTACAAGGTAAACCTGTCGATACTGCAGACTGTTTATTGGTGCAACCTTTACCGATGAGACGTCCAGATTTCATCAAGAGAAATACGTCAATACCTTTGATGTATACTCAGTGATACACCACAAAGTTGAGAATGAAATCTCAAACGTGGATTGACTGTCCATTTTGGAGAACGGGATGAGTTACTCACTACTCCTGATGGTATTTTGTGTAGAATCCAAACTACGGTTTGGACTGTTGAGTAGCCTATGGGGTAGATTAGACACGCGCCCTCGCCCGTCAAAATCAAAACAAGTAATCGGGTAAACAACGGTTCTAAACAAATATTACCACCCGGCTATTCAACCAATAATTGTTCAATCAATCAAATCAGTCATAACAAATGAACGTTATTCTATCCTAATTGGACAGAACACACACAAAAGGAGGAGCAAATCAATATGGCTACCGCCAAGAACAAGTGTCAAGTATAACAACACAGATGCAGTTCAGGAAGAAACACAAGACTTAGTGAAGGCGTAAGAAAAACAAAAAAATAATAATAAATACAAATATTAACAATTCAAATGTAATCAAAAGACAAGAATGTACAACTAAGGGGATCAATAGGAACAAAGTGCAAGTATATACATGGAGGGATTTTCACAAACACACAAAGCATTCAAAATGGATCTTACATTTTGTGCTTGAATGATTGTGTTGTTATTCCTCCTTCATTACGTAACTCCATCCTTGGAGATCTTCGTAGTGAACATTTAGGTGTTGAGAAAATGAAGTCCTTGGCAAGGCTCACATTTTGATGAGCAGAGATAAATGCAGATATAAGTCGTACAGCAAACAATTGTGGAAGATATCATAAGTCAAAAATCATTTTTCGAAGTGGACTCCATGACCAGTATCATCTGAGGCCTGGTAGAGAATTCATGCAAACCTTTGTGGTCAATTTCTCGCAAATACTGTGTACGTGTAGCCACTGATTTTTTCAAGACGGCTAAGGTCTTTTGCCAACTTCACCAAATTCTGAATTTCAAAATCAGGAATTTGGGGACGTTTTTAGTTGGTAGGAGATGCCTGTGGCATAAGTGACTGAATATGGTCCTCATTTCGCTGCAGACACGATCACAACCTGGTTGAATAGTATAGGGTGCAAACATCTGTTCATTGCTCCCGGGCACCCTTGTTCTAATGGTCAGGAAAGATATTTCTATAGGACATTAAAAACCTTTGCTGATTTTAATACTGCTTGAAGATTTGATGAATTTGAGAAGGGAGTAGACACATTTCTACTGCAGTACTGCTGAAGTGCTAAACATTCTGTAAAGAATGAGACTACTGAAAAGCTATTGAAGGAAGGATTCTCTTTCTTTGTGTTTGGAGTTTGTGGAAGCTGCATAGTACTGTTCAAATGATCTTCAATGATTTAAATACATACAACCGACCTATTGAGTGAATACAATTCCAGGAACCAGGTGAGGATGTTACAATTTCGTCTGTTAATTCTAATACTAACAAGAACAATCTAGATCATACAATCTACATCAGACAAACACATGATAAATTTAATGAGAAGCACAATCGATTGCAAAAAGTTGGGTTCCTATTTAAGCTGAGGCGGATGTTGTATTTGTACAAACTAATTATTCCTTCGTACTTGATTGCATACTGATTATTAATTACAAATATAATATGTTGATATGTGTTCATATAGTTCTGCCTGTTATATCCTAGCGAAGAATAAACTACGAGTAACTTCCGAGAACTATTAACGAACTAATATGATATATATTCCTATTTTATAACTATTCAGTAACTAAATTATGTATATCTATATTCCCCTTGTTATAAGCTTCATTTTGACATAATTTATTGTTATAGGATTTACTGTTCTTAAGTTGCACTCAGTTTATCGATTACTGTCTCCCACGTTCTCAGCCACTTTTTGGCTCTATTGTGTACGAAAGTTATTTCCTATTTTATGGTGTGATGCGGTTTGTTTGGTTGATATGTGAATTAAGTATGTTTGAAATAAATGATTCGCATAGCGGGGGCTTTTGTTGATGCTCTGGACTCAGCTGGACGGGCTAGGCGAGCAAATAACCAATAAGGACGCCAAACTGATCAGATCGGTCGGACGTCATTGGTTTAGTACAGTAAAAGAGTGAGTCAGTCGTATTTTGGTTGACAAATAAATAAATAGCCACAACACTACCGGCCTAAAATTACGCAATTTCAGAAATTCTCAGTTGACACAATAATTCGAATACTTCTAATTATCAAAGTATCTTTTACAATAACTATTTGGCATATACCATATACGTATAAATAAATCAACTATCTATTAAATGAATACCATTCGTGACATATGATGTAGCTGGCTTTAAGGTCGTCAATTAGAGCGGTGTAACGGGTGATAGTATTATCAGGCACTAAATGACCAGGACATGATCACACAGACGATAGCATCATTCAAGTAATGAGAGGCTTTACAAGGTAACCACAGGATACTAGCCAGTTTAACTGCACGATAAAGAATATGAAACGATTTAACGTCGCTAAAGAAAAGCCAGACCCCCAAACGTAGCTGAGAAACTAAAGACTGGTCATAGTGACAGGTTAGTTATTTTTTATGTAATCAAGGAGAGTGAAGGCTCGGAACATAAAACTCGTTTTAGCAAGACATTGGGTTGATAAAGCAGATACTAAAACAGCTAGTGCCTCAGTATATCTTCGGAGTCATCTCGCTAAACGCGCATAGACGTAAAGAAAAGGACCTAAAGATTGCAACTTTTCGAACTATGGGACCTCAAAAGATGATACCGAGGCCACTAGCGGTGAAGGATGAAACCATTTAAATAGCCTTTGGATCTGTTACACAAACGCCCAAAACTTGCTAAATAAGAAATTGGAGCTAGTTAAACAGATAAACCCAGCCCAATTGGATGTAATATCCGTAAGAAAAACACACCTAGCAGCAAATAAACAAAACGGAATTGATTTGGAAGGGTTCCAATAAGTAAGATTAGACAAAATACGGAAAAGCAAACAATCAAAATTATTCTTATTGGTAAGAAATACTATTCAGTTTCACGAAGAAAATGGAAATGATAATGACGATAGTGAGGAGGAAGACGACGACGATAATGAGGAAGAGTCTAGTGAGGGAGAGGAAGAAAGTAATAAAGACAATTCAGAACTGAATGTTGAGAAAGGTAAAGCCATCAACAACCTGGTTGGGTCAAAGGCTGTCCAAAAACCTGGTTCGATGTTGAACATTGAGAAATTGACGGAAAATAAGGTATCAAGCATACCGAGTAAAATGACTGAGGGATCTGAGCCACAAAGCAGTACATCAGGCAAGGTCCTCATACTACATGGACCTGATAACTTGAATAGCTTGAAAGAATTCCTTTCCAAAATTAGCCCAGTGACCAGCATAAGCAGG